AGTACGGTAGTTCCAAAAATGGTTGCACTGCCGGATGCAAGGCTAAGAATAAGCTCCATTCTATCTAAAAGGAATGGACTGTTGGGCCCAATGCTTGTTAAAGTTAGGCGTTCTCAAGAAAAGAGATGGGTATTGTTTTCAAATGCATGACAACACGAGCGGTGTATTTAGAAGTGATTGGAAACATGAATGTATAATATGCATTTATAATGACCTTCAGGAGATTAGTGGCGAGGAAGGGTTTTCCGAAAGAAATATACTCTGACTGCGGAACTTTAAGGGAGCCGAACGAGAACTGTCAAAGAGCTTCAAGGCCATGAGCCCAGAATTACGAGAGAAGCTAGCCCAACAACAAGTGAAATTCGATTTCAATCCGCCTAATGCACCACACTTCGGTGGGATATGGAAGCGCGAAATCAAATCGGTAAAGAATGCAATCAGATGTTGCATTAAAGATCGTGTGATTACGGAAGTAGTGCTTCAAACCGTCATCGTTGAGGTCGAAGGGCTGATGAACTCTAAACCATTGGATTACGCATCCTCGGATGTTGCTGATACTAATCCTGTGACGCCCAATAGGTGCACCGTTATTGATGGGTCGACGTGATCCTTCATTGCCGTTTACCTATATTGATCAGAAAGAACAAGTCCGAAGTAAAAAACAGTGGAGGCACAGCCCCAAGTTCCATGTGGGACCCATATGATTTAGCCCACATAGCCCAGATATAACCCATTTGGGGCCCACATGGAACCCACATTAAATTGTATGTGGGTGGCATATAAGTTTCCCATATGGGACCTATATTTTCTGACCCATATGGGTACCATATGTGCTATCCTTGAGGAAACCTCCGGATTCTGCACCCAAGATCCATGTGGGGCCCATCTGATTTAGCCCATAGCCCAGATATAACCCATTTGGGGCCCATATGGAAACCACATGCATTTTTACATGGGTGGTATATAGTTTTCCCATATGGGACCTATATTTTCCCGACCCATATGGGTAACATATGGGCTATCCTTGAGGAAACCTCCAGATTCTGCACCCAAGCCCCATGTGGGGCCCACATCTTTCAGAGAACCCATATGGGGCTCTCTTATACACATCTAGATGTGTATAAGAGACAGCTCTACTAACAACGTACGCCCATATGCAATTGCACATGGGTGGTATATGGGTCCCATTATTTTCTGGCCCATATGGATGTAATATGGGTCTGCCCATATGGGGCCCCTCGTATTCTCCACCAAAGCCCCATGTGAGACAAATATGGTACCCATTGCAACTGCACATGGGTGGTATATACTGCCCTGCTCTGAGAAAAGGCATTAAGTACATTTTTTTCAAAATTGAGATTTTTAGCTTATGTGACTCCTGAATGTCTAATCTATCACCCTATTTTATCAAATTTCAAAAAATATGTCTGGAAATATGAAATTTTATTTTAAAATTGGGCATTATCTGCAAATTTCACTATAAATACTCTGAGAAAAGGCATTATGTGCGCGAAGCCTTACATACATGCATTGAACGCTTGACTTCACGCAAGACAGATAGTAAGTAACCAATCAGATGCTAGTATAACGAATATCTAACTAATTAGCTTGGAATCCTTAGCAAATAATGCCTAGTTAGTAACTGTTTTATTTCGAAGAATACTCTGAGAAAGTGCATTATCTGCTTTATATTTTACGGCGTTTATTTATAATTCTGTGATTAATGAGATACTTTTGCCGAAATGATGCAAGTTACAGCGCAAGAACTTTTTTAGAAGTCTTTTGGAAGAGTAAGTACAATCTTGTATTTTATTATGTTTCATACCTATTAAGTATTAAATTTAGATTATTATTATTATTTAGTAGTATTATTTTTTGTTTTATCGACATTGTATTTTTTGTATTGTGTTTATTATTATTATTATTATTATTATTATTATTATTATTATTATTATCACTGTTATTGTTACTATCATCATTATTATTACTCTTTCAGGCAACCAAGTGGTAAATCAAAAATAGACAGAAAAAATTTAGCCACCGAGATTGTGCTCCACTTCGAAGAAGGGACATTGAGTAATGCAATTGTGAAAGAAAAAGTGTAAATAACTATTTAAAAAATTGTAAAAGTCGGAGCATTGTAATAAAACTTTTAAAATGTTTTCCACTCATTTGTATAACCTATGTTGTATTGTATCATTATCATTGTAAAGATAATAGTTGCAATGTACGGTATATTATAACTTAATAAATATAAATTAATTAATCTTATATTTAAAATTAGCACACCATTTTTATATATATTTTTCTACATGTTATTGTTAGTTAACAAGTTATTATCAATAAACTTTGAATTTGAAATTATAATGATTTGTCTATTTTATTATTAGTCGATCGATTTAATTATTATTATAGGCCTATTCAAATTATCAATCGATAATGGTAATGATTATGATGATGGTGTGGATGATGATAATTAAGAGGATGAAGAGATTTAAAAATATGATGGCATGCTAGTTACCGAACCATAAATAAAATACGTTAAA